TATTAATTCTTGAGAGTTTGATATTGAAACTCCAACTAAAAATCTTCACTTATCTACTTAAGAAAAGAATTGTAATATATCATGGAACTGCATGTAACCTTGTTCTATATTTTCCAAGTCTCCTGTAAATGTGTTATTGTACTTCTATGATTTAACAAAATGTTGACCAGAAAAAAAAAGTGGTCATGGCTACTGATGGTAGCATCTTGTTCTCTCTTCTTTTACAGAGAAGGCTGCCTCGGGGAGGGGGGTCGTGTGCCAGCAGGGCAGAGGTCCTGGAGGGCCTGGTGTCGCGGGCAGGGACACGGCTCGGAGGGGAGGCTGCTGCGGAGCTAGGTCCGAAGCAGAACCAGGCTCTGCCTGCTCTTGCCTGTGTTTCCTCATCAGCAAAGTGAAGGTGCTGTGCTGAATTATTTCTCGTGACCCTTAATGCTGACCTCACCATCGGGCTCTGGGAGAGCATCCTTGCTAAGCGATATTCCGAGACCGGAAATCACGGTTCTATTCTTCTCATGGTGCTGACAACACATTAAGGCAAGAACAGCATTTCAGGTTGATGTGTGATCCTTTCCCCCTCATGTCTCTTGATCTTAATAGTTACTATCCTCATTCTCTAGATGAGGAAGTGGCTTCCCAGGTGGTACACTGGGAAAGAACCCACCCGCCAATGCAAGAGACGTAAGAGACGTGGGTTTGATCCCTGGGTCGGGAAGATCCCCTAGAGAAGGAAACGGCAACCCACTCCATATTCTTGCCTGGAGAATCCCATGGACAGAGGAGCTTGGCGGGCTACAGTCCAAGGGGTCGCAAGAGTCGGACACGACTTCAGGACTAAAACAGCGACAGTGGACGAGGCAGAGAAGCTTGCTGGCTCCCAGGGTCTCCGTGTGGAGCCGGGTGTGAACCCAGGCCCAGTGCCTGCAGCTCACTCTGGAAGCCACTTTCCGAAGCACGTTTACGCACTTGAGGGACTCACCCTCCCCCAGACCTAGAGTGGAGGAGGGCCCCGGAGGAGGGTCCTGAAAGGAAGCCCAGCACAGAGGGGCCAGGAGCGGGAGTGGGTGAGGCCGGTGGGGAGGGGCGGGCGGCGGGAGAGTCCGCGGGCAGCCTGGCCCAAGGCCGCTCCGGTCCCTGCCCGCCACCGCAGCCTTGCGCGGTGGGGAGCCGCTGGCGTGGGAGGGGAGAAGCAAGTGCCTGACTGTCCGGATCGCTCAGAGAGTGTAATTGAATCACTCAGTCTCCTTGCTGCTGCTCCACAGGCTCCCAGCCTGGTGGCCTCTTCACCCAGCCCGCCACGCGGTGTCAGTGACTGCAGAGGGCACAGGCGGGCTCACCCTCTAGGAGCCCCCAGGACTGACACCGTCCCCCCAGGACTGACTCCGCCCCCCCAGGACTGACACCGCCCCCCAGGACTGACACCGCCCCCCAGGACTGACAGCAACCCCCAGGACTGACTCCGCCCCCCCAGGACTGACACCGCCCCCCAGGACTGACTCCGCCCCCCAGGACTGACAGCAACCCCCAGGACTGACTCCGCCCCCCCAGGACTGACACCGCCCCCCCCAGGACTGACAGCAACCCCCAGGACTGACACCGCCCCCCAGAGGGCTGACACCACCCCCCAGGACTGACAGCAACCCCCAGGACTGACTCCACCCCCCCAGGACTGACACCGCTCCCCCCAGGACTGACTCCGCCCCCCCAACTGACACCGCCCCCCCCAGGACTGACACTGCCCCCCCAACTGACACCGCCCCCCCCAGGACTGACACCGCCCCCCCAGGACTGACTCCGCCCCCCCAGGACTGACACCGCCCCCCCAGGACTGACACCGCCCCCCCCAGGACTGACACTGCCCCCCCAACTGACACCGCCCCCCCCAGGACTGACACCGCCCCCCCAGGACTGACTCCGCCCCCCCAACTGACACCGCCCCCCCAGGACTGACAGCAACCCCCAGGACTGACTCCGCCCCCCCAGGAGTGACACCGCCCCCCCAGGACTGACTCCGCCCCCCCAACTGACACCGCCCCCCCCAGGACTGACACTGCCGCCCCAACTGACACCGCCCCCCCCAGGACTGACACCAACCCCCAGGACTGACACCAACCCCCAGGACTGACATCAACCCCCAGGACTGACACCGCCCCCCCCGAGCACTGACACCACCCCCCAGGACTGACACCAACCCTGAGGGCTGACACCGCCCCCCCAGGACTGACACCGCCCCCCAGGACTGACTCCGCCCCCAAGGAGGAGTGCCCAGTCTTCACCCCCTTAGGGGCAGGGACGCTGGTCTGCAGGTGACCGCCCTCCGGAGCCCCTCTGAGCAGCGCAGGATGCCAGGCCCAGCAGGGGTCGGGAGCAACTGACCGTCCATGTGCGTGTGTGTTTCTTTGGTTATGTATGTTCGTGTGTTTACTTGGCAAGGTGAGGAGCGAAAGCGGGGGACGAGCACTCGGTCCCAAGGCTCCTAGATAACCTGCCGTCCTTTATCTGCAGAGAAATGTGCGGAGAAGGCTGCGGGGCTCCGGCCACGTGGAGGGAGGGTGGGCGGAGAGGCTGATGGGGGCCAGATCCAGACCTGGGCCCTGCTTCTCACGGGAGAGAGGCCTGGGTATCTGGGTCTAGCTGCTCTCGTGGAGCCCCCACCTAATGACAGACTCCGTGGACGGGGAGAAGGGGCTGGGGCCAGCAGACAGCCTTGTACCGTCACGAAGGGCCGAGACTCCCTGACTGATTCTGTGATAAGGGGCAGGTACACTGTGTGCTAATCACCTGTTCACTAACTGCGCACCTTCAGTTTTCTGTACGGGAAAGAAGGACCACGAAGCCTTGCTCCAGCCTGTGGACATGCATGAGACCAGGCGCAGCACTGTAACTTCCGGAGGCCCGCACGCAGCATGAAGTTTGGCAGACTTGCTGTGTTCTCCGTGGTCACTAACTTTCTGAGTTCAGGCCCTTCACAGCTGCAGCCCTTTGTGGAATGCCAGTGGGTGTGAGGCTGGACACAGGGGCTCCTGGAGGGGGCCCTCCAGAACCAACGAGGGCCTTGGCACAGACAAGATCACACCAGAGCAAGCTGCTCAACGCTGAGCAAGGCTCTGCTTCTCTGAGCTCACGGGTAGGGTCTCCACCCACCACCAGCCATTTCTAGAACCAGGTCCCAAGAAAGAATTCACCCTGCAAGTGAGTGGCATCACCATTTATGCCTCTGAGGATGACTCACACATTTTAAATGGGCACTTGGATCAAGGATGTTTGAACTGTAATAATGAACTCATGGTGGGTTCTCAGTGCCAACACAAGTCTGTCTTTATCCAAGATGCTTCAGAGCAAGCCCTCGACTGGAAATCCATCAAGAATCCGCAAACCAAGACCTCCTTTGCTCCTTGCTGGTCTATAAGAGGGTATGGGACCTGTGAGAAGATCCTGCAGGTCCCCACGTGAGGCTGGACCGGCCCCGTCCCAGAGAGAAAATAAAGCACTGCACAGAGCCTCTGCGGCAAGTCCCAGCTCAGCTGCTGCCCAGCAATTGGCTCTTAGGAAAATCGCGGCCGCCGTCCAGCTTCAGAGAGTTCATATGGAAGAGAGCAGTAGCAGTCTCTTGCCGTCAGCCACTGTGAAGGTTTAAGGGGTGACGCACGTTAACAGCCCCTGGCCCGTGCTGCGTTCCCGGCGAGTCTATCTGGGGCTGGCATGCTGACCACTGGCCAGGTGTACTGGGGCTTGGGGTCTTCCTCATCCCATACAGCAGGAACCTGCCTCTTGAACCTGGAGTTCAGAGGAGGGACCACACACAGGTCAGGGGACTCCAGACTTTCCCATGCCACGTTTCTGAAGATGTGGCATTTAGCTGGGAACTATTTTCTGTCTTTCTTCCCTTCAGGATGTTGGAACAGAAATATTTCAAAGAGGAAATAAAATGCAGCAGAACATTTCCTTCGGTGATGAGACTCAGCACCCATGGGGTTTCTGGGGCTCACTCGCAGTCACTCCTGGTGGCAGCTGTCATCAGCTTGACCTGGGATAGTATCTCCCTGAAAAGCGTACAAAAAATACTTAGAAATCATGTGTCTGGATTGGCAGGCCAGGGTCCAGAAGTGTCCTCACACGTGGGAGATCACAGACTGTGGCACGGCCTTGGGGCTCTGGACCAGGTCAACTCCAGAGTGCAACCCCCACCCAGCCAGCACCAGCCAAGAGCTCTCATTAAACTCCATGGAGATCCAGATTCTCTCGGATGAGGCAGAACTGCTAATTTTGGGCAGTTTGCTTAGGACACCAGCTGTGTCCAAGGCCTGCCTTCTACAGAGGTCACAGTCCCTGTGATGGTCCCTGTGGTGTTCTGAGCAGAGTGGCGCCTACTGCCGTGGCCATCTGGAGGCCCCTCTCCCAGGAGGGTGAGGGCAGCTCAGGGGCCAGGCCAATGCGAGCCTATTTCTGGAGGCCAGGGAGCCCACATACTTCAGAGGATGCCCACAGATGCACCCGTTTCCTGGAAGAAACACGTGAGGCCACTCTGCCGGGAACCAGTGCCCGGCTGGCAGCTGACCAGCAGGGCGGTCACTCGGGGAGACAGCTGCTCCTTTGACTGCAGAGCATCGCCCGCCCCAGCCTCCCCAGCCTCTGGAGCCGGCAGGAAGGCTGCCGCAGCGGTGGGGATGAGCTGAGCTCCCCGTCACCCGGACATGTCAGAGATGCAGAGTCCCCGCCTGAGAATCTGCCTTCCAGCCTCCTCTCCAGGGATCACGTCAGAGCGTGGACACGCCTCTGCCCTTTCTCGGCAAATCCGGCAAATCCGGGGCAGATTAGCGAATTGATTTGCCTTCTGGTTTCTCCAGTTCTCTGTCCAGCTTTCAAACAAATTAGCGCCATTTTCTATTTTAAACCAATGTCACTTTCATGGAAAATTCACCCCGCATTGCCCCAGACTCCGCGGGCGTGGGAGGAGGAGGGGGTGATGCGTCTTCATGATTTCCCCTCCACGCGGGCCTTACAAGCACCTCGGGGGCCTGAAATAGCTCGACCACCCCTGTGCAAATTGCAGGCGCTGAGCTGCAGCGCCTGGCGCTGGGCGGTGCTTCCTTCTGCACATGCTCAGCCCAGGGCCGCGGCGGGGCGGGCGTGGGGGTGAGGGCTCCAGATGGGAGGGGCGGCTGCTCTTGGTCCCCTGAGCAGGGCGGGTCTGGGCTGCTGCCCCGGGAGCAGGCTGCTTCTGCGTGGTCCTCGCGGTCAGGACCAAGGACAGCAGCCTCCCTCCCCCACCCAACGTCCCCCCGCCCCACGAGGAGGGGAGGACTGTGCCGGGCAGGCGGCATAACCTTTCTGTTCTGAACGCGAGAGGCAGGTATTCAGCCACTTTGGGTCTGCCAAACCCCACACTCAGGGACAGAAATCATCTCAAAGCCTGCAGCCCCGAGGGCCTCCTTGTCTTTGCAATACCACCTGCCCTTTCCCCAAAAGCCAGTCCCATCCTCCTTCCAAGACCGGCTTCAGGGGCCTGGCCTTTGAGGAGCAAGCCTGTCACCTTGGAGACTCCCCATCCCAGGCATGAATCCTGGTTTGGAAACGTACCTGCTGTGGGTGCTCATGTGGGTGGTTCACCTCCTCGGAGCTATCGGCTTCCCTCTCCTATTTCACTTGTCACAAAAACCTGCATGCGATCACCTGCCAGGGGTGGGGAAGATGCGTTGAGACGGCACCGCATGTAGAGCAGAGGCCTTTCGCGTGTACAAGACTGTTCACCGCCTCCTCTCATCCCTTCTCCGGTGTCTTAGTCAGCTCCGGCTGCTAAACAAGGAGGCAGGAGCTTAGACAGGAGACAGCTATGGCCTCAGGATCTGGGAACTGGCTGTCTGCAGGGTAGGTTCTTGGAAGACCCTCTCCTGGGCTTGCAGATGCCCCCTTCTCA